GGCACTACCGTTTGGGTCATATCGGTGTAAAGCGCATGAAGAAACTCCATAAAGATGGATTTTCGGAATCACCTGGTTATGAATCATTTGATGCTTGCGAACTGTGCCTTTTGGGCAAGATGACTAAAACTCCATTCTCCGGAACAATGGAACAAGCTACTGACTTATTGGAAATAATACATACCGATGTATGCGATCCAATGAGTGTTGATGCTCGTGGCAAGTATCGTTATTTTCTGACCTTCACAAGATGATTTGAGCAGATATGGGTATATCTACTTGATGAAACATAAGTCTGAAATAGTTGAAAGGTTCAAAGAATTTCAAAGTGAAGTGGAAAAATCATCGTAACAAGAAAATAAAGTTTTTGTGATCTGATCGCGGAGACGAATATTTGAGTTACGAGTTTGGTCTTCAATTAAAACAATGTGGAATAGTTTCACAGCTCACGCCACCTGGAACACCACAACGTTATGGTGTGTCCGAACGTCGTAACCGCACTTTATTGGATATGGTGCAATCTATGACGTCTCTTACTGATTTACCATTATTGTTTTGGGGTTATACATTAGAGACAACTGCATTCACGTTAAAACGGCACCATCTAAATCCGTTGAGACGACATCGTATGAACTATGGTTTAGAAGTAAACCTAAGCTGTCATTTCTTAAAGTTTGGAGTTGCGATGCTTATATGAAAAAGGTTTTCAACCTGATAAGCTCGAACCCAAATCGGAGAAGTGCGTCTTCATAGAATACCCAAAGGAAACTGTTGGGTACTCCTTCTATCACAAATCCAAAGGCAAAACATTCGTTGCTAAGAATGGATCCTTTCTAGAGAAGGAGTTTCTCTCGAAAGAAGTGAGTGGGAGGAAAGTAGAACTTGATGAGGTAACTGTACCTGCTCCCTCATTTGAAAGTAGCTCATCACAGAAATCTGTTCCTGTGACTACTACACCAATTAGTGAGGAAGTTAATGATGATGATCATGAAACTTCAGATTAAGTTACTACAGAATCTCATAGGTCTTACAGAGTACGGTCCGCACCAAAGTGGTACGGTAATCCTGTTCTGAAAGTCATGTTACTAGACCATGATAAACCTACGAACTATGAGGAAGCGATGATGAGCCCAGATTCCGCAAAATGGCTAGAGGCCATAAAATCTGAGATAGGATCCATGTATGAGAACAAAGTGTGGACTTTGGTGGACTTGCCCGATGATCGGCAAGCCATAGAAAATAAATGGATCTTCAAGAGGAAGACGGACGTTGATAGTAGTGTTACTATCTACAAAGCTCGACTTGTCGCAAAAAGGTTTTTCGACAAGTTCAAGGTGTTGAATACAATGAGATTTTCTCACTTGTATCGATGCTTAAGTCTGTCCGAATCATGTTAGCAATTGCCGCATTTTATGATTATGAAATTTGGCAGATGGATGTAAAAACTGCATTCCTGAATGGATTTCTGGAAGAAGAGTTGTATATGATGCAACCGGAGGGTTTTTTAGATCCTAAGGGAGCTAACAAAGTGTGCAAGCTCCAGCGATCAATCTATGGTCTGGTGCAAGCCTCTCGGAGTTGGAATAAACGCTTTGATAGTGTGATCAAAGCATATGGTTTTATACAGACTTTTGGAGAAGCCTGTATTTACAAGAAAGTGAGTGGGAGCTCTGTAGCATTTCTAATATTATATGTGGATGACATATTGTTGATTGGAAATGATATAGAATTTCTGGATAGCATAAAAGGATACTTGAATAAAAGTTTTTCAATGAAAGACCTCGGTAAAGCTGCTTACACATTGAGCATCAAGATCTATATAGATAGATCAAGACGCTTGATAAGATTTTTCAATGAATACATACCTTGATAAATTTTTGAAATAGTTCAAAATGGAACAGTCAAAGAAAGAGTTCTTACCTGTGTTGCAAGGTGTGAAGTTGAGTAAGACTCAAGACCCGACCATGGCAGAAAATAGAAAGAGAATGAAAAGTCATTCCCTATGCCTTAGTCATAGGTTCTATAAAGTATGCTATGCTGTGAACCAGACATATTGTATACCTTGCTCTGAGTTTGGCAAAGGAATACAATTTTGATCTAATAGTAGATCACTGGACAACGGTCAAGAATATCCTTAGTAAGGACTAAGGAGATGTTTCTCGATTATGGAGGTGATAAAAGAGTTCGTTGTAAAAGTTACATCGATGCAAGCTTTTACACCAATCCAGATGACTCTAAGTCTCAATCTGGATACATATTGAAAGTGGGAGCAATTAGCTAGAGTAGCTCCGTGCAGAGCATTGTGGACATAGAATATTTGTGAAATACATACGGCTCTGAATATGACAGACCCGTTGACTAAGCTTCTCTCACGAGCAAAACATGATCATACCTTAGTACTCTTTTGGGTGTTAATCACATAGCGATGTGAACTAGATTATTGACTCTAGTAAACCCTTTGGGTGTTGATCACATGATGATGTGAACTATGGGTATTAATCACATGCATATGTGAATATTGGTGTTAAATCACATAGCGATGTGAACTACATTATTGACTCTAGTGCAAGTGGGAGACTGAAGGAAATATGCCCTAGAGGCAATAATAAAGTTATTATTTATTTCCTTATCTCATGATAAATGTTTATTATTCATGCTAGAATTGTATTAACCGGAAACATGATACATGTGTGAATACATAGACAAACATATAGTCACTAGTATGCCTCTACTTGACTAGCTCATTAATCAAAGATGGTTATGTTTCCTAACCATAGACATGTGTTGTCATTTGATTAATGGGATCACATCATTAGGAGAATGATGTGATTGACATGACCCATTCCGTTAGCCTAGCACTTGATCGTTTAGTATGTTGCTATTGCTTTCTTCATGACTTATACATGTTCCTGTAACTATGAGAATTATGCAACTCCCGTTTACCGGAGGAACACTTTGGGTACTACCAAACGTCATAACGTAACTGGATGATTATAAAGGAGTACTACAGGTGTCTCCGAAGGTGCATGTTGAGTTGGCATATTTCGAGATTAGGTTTTATCACTCCGATTGTCGGGGAGGTATCTCTGGGCCCTCTCGGTAATGCACATCACTATAAGCCTTGCAAGCAATGTGACCAATGAGTTGGTTACGGGATGATGCATTACGTAACGAGTAAAGAGACTTGCCGGTAACGAGATTGAACTAGGTATTGGATACCGACGATCAAATCTCGGGCAAGTAACATACCGATGACAAAGGGAACAACGTATGTTGTTATGCGGTTTGACCGATAAAGATCTTCGTAAAATATGTGGGAGCCAATATGGGCATCCAGGTCCCGCTATTGGTTATTGACCGGAAACGTGTTTCGGTCATGTCTACATAGTTCTCGAACCTGTAGGGTCCGCACGCTTAAGGTTTCGATGACAGTTTTATTACGAGTTTATGAGTTTTGATGTACCGAAGGAGTTCGAAGTCCCGGATGAGATCGGGGACATGACGAGGAGTCTCGAAATGGTCGAGACGTAAAGATCGATATATTGGACGACTATATTCGGAGTTCGGAAAGGTTCCGAGTCATTCGGGTATTTTTCGGAGTACCGGAGAGTTACGGAATTCGCCGGGGAGTATATGAGCCTTATTGGGCCATACGGGAATAGAGGAGAGAGGCCGAAAGGAAGGAGGCGCGTAGCCCCCCTCTGGTCCGAATTGGACAAGGGGTGCAGCCCCCTTTTCCTTCCTCCTCTCCCCCTCTTTCCTTCTCTCCTACTCCAACAAGGAGGGGGGGGGGAGTCCTACTCCCGATGGGAGTAGGACTCCTCCTGGCGCGCCTCTCCTGGCCGGCCGAACCCCTCCCCCTTGCTCCTTTATATACGGGGGCAGGGGGGCACCTCAAGGGAGAACAACACAAGTTGATCTACGGATCGTTCCTTAGCCGTGTGCGGTGCCCCCCTCCACCATATTCCACCTCGGTCATATCGTCGTGGAGTTTAGGCGAAGCCCTGCGCCGGTAGAGCATCATCATCGTCACCACGCCGTCGTGCTGACGGAACTCATCCCCGAAGCTTTGCTGGATCGGAGCCCGGGGATCGTCATCGAGCTGAACGTGTGCTGAACTCGGAGGTGCCGTACGTTCGGTACTTGGATCGGTCGGATCGTGAAGACGTACGACTACATCAATCGTGTTGTCATAACGCTTCCGCTTAATGGTCTACGGTATGTAGACAACACTCTCCCCTCTCGTTGCTATGCCATCACCATGATCTTGCATGTGCGTAGGAAAATTTTGAAATTACTACGTTCCCCAACAGTTCGATCGACCGCGGCCGTTCTTTTTTGGAGGCTGGCATGGGTGCCGCCCGATGGGCCGTTGACTGTGTGCCGGCGAGAAACTGATTCATTTTGAAGGCTGGCTGTGTTGCCGGCCGCTGGTTGTGTTGCCGGTGAATAAAACTATTCATTTTGGAGGCCGGCTGTGTTGCCGGCGAGGACGTATAGGCCGCTGGCTTAGTTGCCGGCGTGAACTAGGGCCGCTGGCGTGAACTAGGCCGCTGGTATTTGAAACGTTGCTGTTTGAAAATGAAGGCGGACAGGATGGGGTCAAAGGATGCGGCTGCACGACCACCACATCCCAGGACAGGTCCGGACACGACCCCGTCGCTCTATTCAAATGGACAGAATTCGGGCAAAATGGACATCCGTTTGGGGTCGCGCCGTGGAGCTGGCCTTAGAGGATCCACTTCCTCCTGGAAGATCACCTTCACTTCCCTTCTCGGTCGTCGGCTCACCCCCTCAGAAGAGATCTCGCTGGTCAACCTCCCCCCATCACCAACCAACCAACCCCATTCGCGGCCGGCTCCTCGCTCCACCCCACCCCTACGGCCCGACCTCACCGGCGCCTCTCCCTGCTGACCTCTCTCCTCCGTCGTCGTCGCGCCGTCGGCGGCCCTCGTGAGGCTTGGATTGGATCTGAGCCGACGCTCCGCTCATCGCTCACCATGGAGTTGGCGGTAGGCGCCTCGGAGGCCACCATCAAGTCCCTGCTGACCAAGCTCGGGAGCCTTCTGGCGGAGCAGTACGCCTTGGCCCGCGGCGTCCGCAGCGACATCCAGTTCATCAACGACGAGCTCGCGAGCATGCAGGCCTTCCTCAGCAACCTCGGCAACAGCACCGGCAACCACGACGACCAGACCAAGGACTGGATGAAGCAGGTCCGCGACGTCTCCTACGACATTGAGGACTGCGTCGACGACTTCACCAACGGCCTCCGCCCGGATCCCCACCCTGACGACTGGCTTTCCAAGGCCCGCGGGTTCCTCTACGAGATCTGGACCTTACGCAGCCGGAGCAGCATCGCCGCCCAGATCGCCGATCTCAAGCAGCGGGCGCAGCATGTGGGTGACCGCCGCGTCAGGTATGGCGTCCGCGACCCGAATCCTGGCACCGGGAAAAATGGTTTGGGTGGATATACCATTGCTGAGCACCAGGAGATAACCCGTCGGCTTATCGGCATCAAGGAGCCAGTTGGGGTGGACATAGCGAAGCTTGAGGAGTGGATTAGACCTTCGGAGAAGAAGCAGCTGGGTGTCCTATCCATATATGGATTCGGCGGCGTGGGAAAAACCACCGCCGCCATGGCACTGTACCGGAGTTGCGGGGTTCATTTCGAGTGCCGGGCAATGGTCACCGTGTCTCATCACACTGACCCTGATGTAGTCCTCTGCGACATACTGAGGCAAGTCAAGATGCAGGTCAAGGATCAGCAAGACCAGAATAGCACCGTAAGCATCTCGGAGGAGAAGAATCGAGGAGCAGTAGCTCCCCTCCAGATGCTCAGCAGGTTGAGCCAAATCCTGATGTGTTGGGCCAATCAAGACAAGGATGGTAAAGCCTCCGACAAGGAGCACAGAGCCATAACAGAGGATCTCCAGAAACACCTCGGGAAAAATAGGTATTAATCAGAGATGCATGGATATTATCGGTTCTGTTTGTGCCATAGTAGATGGGAAAATGAAATTAGTTTTTGCCTAGAGTTGAAACCTCTTCCAGAAATGCACTTTTTACATGTCCAAGCGTTGTGCAACTACTCCCTCCGTCCCAAAATATAAGAACGTTTTTGACACTATGCTAGTGTAAAAAACGTTCTTATCTTTTGGGAAGGAGGGAGTAGCAAGGAACCCTTGCTGCACCACGGAGCCACAGAAAACAACGTTGAATTTGGTTTACTCAAGAACCTTTTGTGCTAGCTTAGACGAGTTTTGGCAGTTGGCACGAATGGTATTAGTTACTCCCTCCGTCCCAAAATAATTTTAGTACAAAGTTGTACTAAGCTTGAGACACTTATTTTGGGACGGAGGAAGTATATAACTAAAAGCTATATGTCTTTCAATATTAGGAAATACATTTCAAGTCATTATTTGTAACTATACTTGTAGAATTTAGCTAATGAATTGTGGACAAGGTTGTGGTTTGACCTAGTATATATTTGATCCGTTCTATCACGCTCCTACCAAAACAGACATGTTGTGTATTTTTTGTCTAGCTGTCTAAGAAAATAAAAACATGAGTGCATTTGTCCTCTTTGCTATTGCATAAGACTACGTGCGCTAGACTGTTCACGTAAGAGAAATTAAACTATTATTATAAGTGATACAAATGATATAAGAGTGCCTGTTGATCCAACTCACGTGTTTTTCTTGTCTTACTTTTGTCAGGTACTTACTGTTAATTGACGATGTCTGGTCATCATCTATGTGGCAGACAATCTTGAACTGTTTGCCAAGAAAAGAGCAAGGTAGCAGAATAATTGTGACCACCCGATTTGAAGCTGTTGCGAAGACTTCACCCGTGGACCATTATTATTTCCATCAGATGAGTAATTTATCTGATGAACATTCCGAGGACTTATTTAACAGAAGTTTGTCCGAGTGCAGGGATGCTCAAAGCAGTAAGACAAGCCAGAGCGATCAAGTTCCACCCAGAGTCTCGAAGATGTGTGGTGGCCTGCCATTACCCATAGTTACCATGGCTGGTCTTGTGGCATCCAACAAGGACACGAAGCCAGAGGAATGGAGTGACGTTTGCAAGACCTTGTTTCCAGAACAACAAGTATGCCAAAAACCAGAGGAATTTATGAGGATAATCAATTACTGCTACAATGTTTTGCCTAGTGACCTCAAGATTTGCTCCCTGTATTTTGGCATCTTCCCAAAGGGTCGCAAGATCAGCAAAAAGCGGCTAATGAGGAGATGGATATCGGAAGGTCTTGTCAGCGAGAAGCAAGGGTTGAGTGTGGAAGACGTTGCAGAGACGTGTTTTAATCAACTTATTAAAAGGCAGATAATACGGCCTGTAGAGAACAGCACCGATGGCAAGGTGAAGAGCTGTCAAGTCCATGACATGGTCCTTGAGTACATTATATCCAAGGCAGCCGAAGAGAATTTCGTCACTGTGGTTGGTGGCCAGTGGTCCGTACCAACCCGTAGCAACAAAGTCCGCAGGATGTCCCTGCACAGCAGTGACTCCAAACATGCGAGGAAAGCATATGCAATGAACTTGTCTCATGTCCGATCACTGACTGTGTTTGGGAGCCTAGAGCAACAGCGGTTTAAATCATTCAAGACTGGAATAGTGCAAGTACTAGACCTCGAAGGTTGCAGTGGTTTTAAGGCGAATCATGCCAGTGTCTCGGACATCTGCAAAATGACTCTTCTCAAGTTCCTGAGCCTCCGAGGAACAGACATCAGCGAACTACCACCGAACATTGGGGGTCTCAAGTATTTGGAAACACTGGACATAAGGCAGACGGGAGTTGAAGAGCTGCCTAAAACTGTAGTTCAGCTGGAACGAATCAGCAATATACTTGGAGGAGATAAGAGAACACGGAAAGCCTTGAAGTTGCCTAAAGAGATCAAGAAGGGAGCAATGAAAACCCTGCGCGTACTGTCTGGGATCGAGATCACCGAGGGATCGACTGCTGTATCAAACCTTCATGAATTAACTGGGCTTAAGAAGTTGGCCATTTACAAGCTTCACAAGTCTGGCCATGATGAGTTGCTCTCCTCTATCCAGTACCTCGGCGGTTATTCTCTTAAAACTCTTGTGATTGATGATGGGTCATCTGAGTTCCATGATAAACTGGGCGAAATGTCGACACCTCCACTATACCTGAATGCTCTAGAGCTGTCCGGCAAGTTGTGCAACTTCCCAAAATGGATCACTAAACTCGGGGACATTGTCAAGTTAACCCTTTCAGCAACACTTCTCAAGCCAAAATATCTGGAAAAGCTTAGGGGCTTGAAGACATTATTTTCTCTCACCTTTTCAGTATGTGAAACAAAACACGATCCTGATATTGCAGCCATTCTTTATAAGAACAAATCTGATTATGGCGGCGAGATCTTTTTTCCACCCGGAGGGTTTGCTAATCTCAAGCTGTTTCGCATCGTCACACCCACTCTTCCATCACTTAACTTCTCAGGAGGGGCGATGCCGGGGCTCGAAAGGCTTGAACTGCGTTTTAAAAGGTTGGAAGGTCTTCATGGCGTGGACAAACTTAAACTTCTCCACGACTTGATCTTGACAGTTGATGGAGAAGCAGATAACACAACCAAGTCGGTACTAAATGATCTGAAAGCAGCAAAAGGGAACTGCGTCCTAAACATTAAGGAATAGTGTGATTGACTGAAGCGTCGACGTGCTATGGTGTTTCTTGGATCTTACAAAATCATCTGACCTTGCTGTATCATCAGGCGTCAGTGGAGATGTTGTCTTTATGCATTGAGTACTCGATTATATTTTGGCGTAAGTTTCCTTTTCTTGTTTTGTTGGAAATATGTCAAATAGTTGTATGGGTGAACTGGAACCTCATGTAATTTGTTTCAAGGTTGGAATGTTGCCCTTTTTGCCAACATATATGTCTTTCTGCTCCCTACTTGCCAAATTATAGTGCATATTCGGAGCAACTCGCATACCATATTACCAAGGGTTGTTTATGCTTGATGCATTGGCTCATGGTGCCTCTGGGTAATAAATGCTCCTGCATGCATTGGCTTACAATGCCTTAATCTTAGGCCTTCTTTGGTTTCAAGGAATTTTGTAGGAATCCCATAGGATATGATTTCTATAGGAAAAATTCCTTTAGAGCACTTTGGTTTGTAGGAATAGAATCCTATTCGTATGGAGGAATTCTTCCTATCCTCCACATTTCATAGGAAAATAAACATTAGCCTAGACTTGATGGGGAAAAAAAAATCCCGTGACGTGAATCACAGGACATCTCCTTTCCTATTCCTACTCATGGGATTTGAGATGCATATCTCATTTCCTATGACTTTCCTATTCCTATGATTTTACTACCCTGTGAACCAAAGAAGGCTTTAATATGACACATGTGGTAAGCAATTCAACCAATTAAAAAAAAGCACTTTAATTTGGCAAGGAGGGAGTATATTGAAATTGCGAGGTTGATTGTTGATATTGGCATCAAACCAATGGCGTGGGAGGAAGAATATCTGCTGCTACATCCATCCACATGATAAAAAAAAACTGTTTTTTTTTTGTGTGTGTACAACCTCTAGAAAGTTGAGATCTAAGCTCCAAACACACATCAAGAAACAAAAAAGACAAATCTAGGTGTGAATAGTGCGTTTTTTGCTTTTGTCTTTTTACACTATATTCATGTAATGGATGGCTGGTAGAAGAAGATAAAATAGGACGCTGTTGATATTCATCCCGTTGGTAGTACACCTTCATTAACTGATTGCTACCTAACAGTGGCCCATATACACATGTGGTGTCACGGTCCTTGATAGGTAGATGATGGGCATGGAACATGATGATGAATAGGACACTTGATATTAACTGATTCCTGCCTAACTAATGTACTGTACATCATCATGTACCTGTCCTTGATAGGTAGGAGTAGCAGCATTGATCAAGGGTGTCCTATACATCATCATGTTGCATCGCCGTCCCGCACATGGGCGGGGACTAGCCAGGCATTAATTCGATTCAAGGACGGACGGACGGAGCACGAAAGAGAGTTTTTCTGACAGTAATAAAAGCTTGTTTGCTCGATTTGGGCGCAATTGTTGGTTGGGTTGGTCGGGGCAGATCTGAGCTGAGCTAGGGGCATTCCCCTTTGCTCAGCTCATCCTAGAACCACAAGCCAGAAGCAACTTTTTCATCCTTGGATCCAAAGGTAAAACTATCTTGATCTAGTGCTTTCTCTAATTGATTCCCTGCAAGGCTCGGTGAGATTTTAGCATTTGTTTCGAGATCCTCAGGTGGTTAGGCTGGGCTGCTTGGTCCGTGCATGACTTGTGGATTGTAGAACAATCCCCTTTTTCTTAGCAAGTGCAAGACGCAGATTAGGGACTGCTTTTTTTTGACGCGTCAACGGCGGGCTTACGCCTGCCTGAACCTTTATTGCCAACCATCGGGGTGTTACAGATCTCAGGGAGAACAGAGAGTACATGGGGGTTAAGGAGAGAATAAAATTACATGTAGCGGGGGGCTAAATTCTCCCGGCAAGGTGGAACAACATTGAGCCCCAGTCCCCGAGTTGAATTTGTTTTTGAATATTATTACATCGGTGAGACCAAAGTTTAAGATCTTCCGCAGAGGAGCTTGCCACATCATGAAGCCCAAGATGTATGTTCCGAAAGACCTTGGCGTTCCGTCGCTTCCAGATATTCCAAAGAACGGCCAGAAGAACTGTTGATGTACTGCACGCGCGGATTAGAGACTTGTGGATTGTAGATCCCCTTCTGCAATGTACTATCATACTGCACTAGTATATTCTGTTTTCGCTGTACTGCACAATACCAACGAAGCTGGCTTTTGTTTTGCTTTTGATTTATTATACATCGCAGGTTATCGAAGCTGCGGCAATGGCGATGACCTTGGAGGCTCTCGGATCCTACGTGCATTGTATGCTCATGGAGTTGGCAGCAGATGAGGTGGGGATGCTGCTCGGTGTCTCGAGCGAGATCCAGAGCATGGAGAACAAGCTCAGGGTCCTCAAGGACTTCTTCGCGGATGCCGACCGGCGGAGCATCACAGATGAATCAGTTCGGGACTGGGTTGCACAACACAAGCAGATCATGTATGGGGCAACCGACATCATTGACCTCTGCCAGCTCAAGGGCATGGAAAGAGGTACACCAGCAGCCGATTTCGTGCGGCGTTTTAGTCCTTTGCGATTCTGCATAAGGAATCCTTCTTATGCCCCCGGCATTGGCAGCCGCATCAAGGGGCTAAACCAGAGGTTTGACGAAATCTGCAAGCATAGCTTTGCATTCAGCTTCAGAACCCTTGGCTCCTACGAGGACCGTGCAGGCAGGGTGCACGCTTCTCATCCCTGCAGCCGCAAGACGTCAGGTCAGCTCGACCGGTCAGGTGTAGTTGGGATGAAGATCGAAGAAGCCACAGAGGCATTAGTGGCCGATATAAAAAAAATCAAGAAACGAGGTCCACAACAGCATCGCGGTGGTCGCCATCGTAGGCATGTGCGGGATTGGCAAGACCGCCCTTGCGCAGAAGGTCTTCAACGACGATGACATCCAAGGCGAGTTCGACAAGAAGATATGGCTGAGCATCAACAAGCACTTCAATAAGGCTGACCTTCTGAGGACAGCAATCACTCAAGCCGGAGGTGACACATATCCCACAAATGATGAAATGCACATGCTGGTTCAAATTCTTGCAGATGCCTTGGCAGGGAAGAAGGTCCTGCTGGTGATGGATGATGTTTGGGACCCCACAGCATGGGAGGGTGTGCTCAGAACACCCTTTCTTAATGCTGCCGCGCGAGGTAGTCGAGTGCTCATCACCACTAGAAGGGAAGATGTTGCCCGTCGCATGGGAGCCGAGCATCCATGCCACCGTGTCGATAAATTAGGTCCGGAAGACGCGTGGTCACTGATGAAGAAACAGGTCTGTAACGGATCCAAATTGTCATTTTGGCGTTAGCCAATTCATACATCTTGCTTATAATTCATGGTTTAACTCATCACCGGTGACAAATCAGCATCTGCCACTTAGTACTTAATCAACCAGTAACCTCTGCGAAAAAAAATACTAATGAAAAATGGCACTAGCTAGCAGCTCCAAAGTGTTCCTTATTAACTCTATTGGTTTAACTGATTGCAGGTAATGGGCAATGACACACATGAGACAGAGCTTGATAAGCTAAAGGATATTGGATTTCAAATTATAGCAAACTGTGGTGGTTTGCCACTTGCTGTTAAAGTGATGGGAGGATTGTTGTGTCAGAGGGACAGGCGACGGCATGACTGGGAGATGCTTCTGAATGATTCAAGTCCAGGATATACAATACCTGAGGAGATATACTACTCAGTGTCCTTAAGCTATGAAGATCTGTCTCCTTGTCTGAAACAGTGCTTTCTGCACTACTCACTTCTCCCTACAAATACAGTGTTCTATGAGAGTGACATTGTTGAGATGTGGATTAGCGAAGGTTTTGTTCACAGCGATTATGATTTGGAAGATGTAGGAAGTCGTTACTACAGCGAGCTTATAGGGAGGAACCTTATAGAGCCGGATGCAAGGTACACTAGTCAACGCCGTGGTCAACGAGTTTGCATCATGAATGATGTTGTTCGTTCATTTGCTCAATTCCTTTGTAGAGATGAAGCACTGGTAGCTCACAACGCAGAAATGTATGACAATGGTGATCTTAGTTCAAGAAAGTTCTATCAGTTGTCTCTAGAAAGCAAAGGATCAGAATCAGATATGTTGGTATGGAGTCTTCTACAAGGACAGAAATCATTGAGAACACTAATATCAATTGGCCGGATAAAGCATCAACTTGGTGATTCGTTGATTAGCTTTCCAAGTCTACGGGTCCTACATATAGAATCCACAAATGCTGCTGCACTGGTTGAATCTTTGTGTCAACTTAAGCACCTGAGATATTTGTCTGTAGCACACACTGATGTATCTAGTCTTCCAGAAAACATCAACACGATGAAATTCTTGCAGCATATTAACCTTGATGGCTGTGAAAAATTGGAGAAACTACCTGACAGCATTATAAAGCTAGGGCAGCTGAGATATCTAAACCTTAATGACACAGGTATAAATGTTGTACCTCGGGGTTTTCGTGGTCTAACAAATTTGAGGAAACTATATGGGTTTCCAGCCCATATGGATGGTGACTGGTGTAGTCTGGAAGAGTTGAGGCCTCTTTCCCAGTTAAGAGAAATTGGATTGAAGGGTTTAGAGAATATAGCTGCTACCTCGTTTGCCGCAAAGGCCAGGCTTGGTGAGAAGGTGCATCTTACCTACTTGAAGTTAGAGTGCACCAGCAGATCGGGAGGTGATGAGTTGGTTAAGGAAGGAAGAGGTGTCTTTCAGGATGAAGAAAAACAACGAATTGAGAAGGTGTTTGATGAGCTCGACCCACCAGACTGCTTAAGTATTCTTGACATCCAAGGATACTTTGGTCTGCAGCTCCCAATTTGGATGAGAACAACAGAAGTGATCCTTCTTGAAAGCTTCCATCTGGCTTGTGCCAGCTTCCCAGCTTGAGGGTCCTTAAGATTCAACGAGCCCCAGCCATCAGCGGTGTTGGGCGTGAATTCCTAGGAGCTCACGAAGGTCATCATATCCAAGAGTTCATCATGTTTCCTAGTTTGCGTGAGCTGGTCTTCTTTGGAATGGTGGAGTGGGAGGAGTGGGTGTGGGAGAAGCATGTAGATGAGGAAGCCATGCCTGTCCTGGAGGAGCTTCTGCTCGACAACTGCAAACTCAGTAGCGTTCCTCCTGGCCTTGCCTTCCACGCAAGGGCTTTGAAACGACTGGTCATTACTGCGGCTGTAAACCTCAGCTCTCTTGATAATTTTGCTTCTGTTGTTGAGCTTGACGTGTATTTCACTCCACAGCTGAGAAGTATAACTGATCTGCATGAACTCCAGAAGCTTACAATCGCATTCTGTCCAAAGCTCGAGAGATTGATTCGTGTTCCTGCAATCCGAAGACTTGTGCTGGAGGATTATGACATGGAAACACTCCCGAGATACCTTCAAGATGTAGGGAACCTGGGCGTTTTGCAGCTAGACTGCAGCGCAGAGCTTCTCACGTCCATAGCATTGGGCAAACCTGGACCAGAGTGGAAAAAGTACAGCCATGTCAAGCATGTCAAGGCATATGCACATGATGGAGGCAATCGAAGGAAATGGTACGTCTTATACACAAAACATCCCTACAAATTAGAGACGAACATCAGCCAACGCTCTTCCAAACTGGCAGGTAACCAATCTGCTTCACCAATTGCTCATTTCGTTTTATTTTTTATTTTCTTTCCATGTTACTTGTAATAGTCTATTTCAAATTATCTTCTACTTTTAACTTTTCCTTCATTGACTCTGGCAATAGCTGTTGGCAAAGATGAAGACAAGCTTATTGGCAAAGATGAAGAATACATTATTGGCATAAACAGCTTAAATGACTCAGGTAGTTTATTAAATTACTTCATCAATTTTCCATTTTGTCTATCTAGCTACTTGTCTCTGTGAAACAATGTTTTATATTTAGAATGCCATAATCTCTCGGTGGCTCTCCTTGCAGACGGCAAATAGGCTGTTGGCACTCATGAAACCAGTGAGTCGGCAAGTAGTTAATTAACGTAATTCTTAAACTGTCAAGTTGTTTATTTTTGCGACATTTTTGGTATGCACACGTAGGGGTGCAAGCGGCGTACCCGCATAGGCCCGCAAAATTAACCAGCCAGTATAAAGTGAACTAACTCCATCACACCAATGTTGCAACTAATTTGGCTCATTTTGTATACGAAGCGCGCTGGATTCAGGCGCCACTTTACATCCCTACGCACACGCTAATATGAACCTTAATTTAACCATCTGTTATCCAATGACTCTAAGAGATCAATAACTATAAAGTGGTAGCAATTCATTTATTCATTGCTTGAAATTTTTGTAAATTTCAATCACCTTCCTAAGTCTTTGGATCGGCATCTAACATTGCTCATAGCCTCATACACATCTCATTCTATATAGTCTACGGAATAAAATTGCAGTTACATGTTACTAAAATTGCACTATCTATTGTAAATGTTGTGCAATTTTAGGTGACTGAAATTTACAAAAATATCAGGCAACTCAAACTAGAAAACTAAAAATGTTAGCATATGTGGACTTTACATGTCACACGGACAAGGAATGAAGGAATTATGTAAAAATATTATTAAAAACAAATATGAAAGGTACTATTCGGCAAATTAATGGATTTCAATTTTCATCCTCCTTTTGCCACACGGCAAGTTCCTCCCTTGTGCCACGCATGACATGAAGCCGCAGAACTGAAACTACATATTTTGGTGTGATACTAATTGCAGGCCCACACAATACATGCATGGTCCACTCTATCTCTTCCTCCTTGCACTTTGTTACATGCACCTTATGTTTTTTACCCGCCATAACCAGTTCAGGTGTAGTTGCATCTGCATATGTTGATGACGTGCCTGTATCAGTCACTTGTTCTGAGGACTTCGGTTCAAATCTAGTTGCATCTAGGTCCTGTATCAGTCACTTTTTCTAAGGACTTCATACAGATCAGTAGAATTTTTCAAAGGAACTCTGGTAGAATTTACTTGCAATACTTATTCATGAATCTTAAGAAATGGCGCTAATGTCAACAAACACAAAGAACATGAATTTCAGTAGATTTACTTGGTCGTTGGTGACACTATGCCTATAGTACATGTAAACTTTAAGCTAATGAAGTAGGACTATTTTTCTTAATCTTGACCAGTTGTGCTAGAATAGGTAAAAGAAGTCCTTGTTAACCATTTACCAATATACATGCTAGTTGTTCAAAAAAATGCAAAAGAATATATAAATCTATTAAAAACATTCTTTTTGTGACGCACAAGACAACCAATTGCTCACTACAGGTAGAGAGCTCCTCTTGCTTGTTTTCTTGCCTTGTCCACGTGCAATGATTAATCTAAACTTATCTTTGACTATTTGTTTTTTCTTTACTACCACAGTCAACGAAGATAACCGAGAACTTGTTGGAATTCATAAGCCATGCGAGGATCTAATCAAGTTGCTGACGTGTGGCGATGAGAAAGAACTAAAAGTGGTCTCCATTTGTGGAACTGGGGGTTGGGGTAAAACCACTATTGCACGTGCAGTTTATAGGAAGATTGCAAATGAATTCAGTTGTAAAGCTTTTGTTGACGTGCCCCGTGATCCTGACATAAAATTGAATATTGGAACCATATGTGGTGAAGTTGGTTGTCCTCGTCCCAAGTTCGAAGAATGTGATGTTCAACAACTACTCGGCCGACTCAAAATATTCTTTGAAGAGAAAAGGTGCGTTTTTATCTTTTATGTTATGCATGGTATGATTGGTATCGCATTATGAGCAATCAAAGTGTTGATATTTTTAGCAGTAGCAAACCAAACATTATGGAACCTTTAGTGGATTGCAACCCCTATTCCGGAATGTAAGAAATAGAGTAAATTAGTGTCCTTTCTCAAAAAAGAAGAGGAGTAAATTACTCCCTCCGTCCCATAATATAAGCACGTTTCTGACACTACTAGTGTCAAAAACGTTCTTATATTATGGTTATGGGACGGAGGGAGTAGTTCCAAGCATATGCGATGTTCTGCAGAATGTTAACATAGTATAATCAAGAGTTTTCAACCCTTCCCCTTGGCGGCTAGGGCAAACTCTTCCCTCCAGGCTTCGTTGGCAAGCCCGTGGATTCGCCTCCCCTCTAGTTGCCGCTTTGGTGGCTGGTGTGGGGAGGGGAATTCTGGTGTCTTCGCTCTGACTAGTAGTTTAGGTTAGGTTTTTTTAGTCCTCGTAGGTGCGGCGCTCGGGAGGATGGCGGTGCTTCTTTGAGTTTATCTTTTGGGCTTCGATCCTCCTCGAGTTTGTCAATCTGGACGTAATCGATGGAGCTCCGGCGTAGATCTCTGTCGTCTCCTTGGGCGAAGAGATTAGGGTTTCTCGTCATGCGTGCACAACAGCGAGATTTGGTGTTAGTTGCTTCAAATCTATTCAAGGGTTTAACAACGACAATTGCGGCTCCAATGCGCTGGTCCTTAGGGGCACGCGCGCGAACACTTCTCGTCTGTCACCGGCAAGGTAAAGCCATTGGCTGCTCATTGTGGCGGTGGTAGTGGTAGTTTGATGGTTTAGAGAGCTAAATGTAATTTTTATTATGTTTAAGGTGTTTTGTATTTCTGATGAACTTTTATAATATATTTGAATCTTTTTTGCAAGAAACATAGTATAATCAATTTAATGCAAAAATAAAATATGACTATTTTCATAGGTACTTCCTCCGTCCGAAAACTCTTGGGAGAAACTCGGGACAAGCTTTTCCGGACGGAGGGAGTACGTGTTTACGACTTTGTATAAGTTGAGACTTTGCATAAATTGAAGGGTCGGCCTGGACATCTGGGGTCAGGGTTGAGCCGAGCCAACCGTTGCCTCTCGATTTCCAGGGGCGGTGGGCCCATGGCTCATCGAAGCATGGGGCCGTCCTCAGGTTTGTTAGCTGTCGGTCGACTTTGCTATGAGTCAGCTGATCCGACCAGTTGGAGGCAAGCGCGCAGCTCCTCGGCCGGGATGCCTAACTTGTTGCGCTCTGCGTTCTGGCCTAGACGTCCTGCTGGACCACCAGCCCGACTGCATTATCTGCTGCTAGGAGGTGCTCGGGGCGGCCATGAAGCAGCTCCGTGGAGTGCAGCAGATCGGCTTGCCATATGAGAAGGCGGTTCTTGTCCTTCTGGGACTTCTTGGGTGCCTTCTGGATTTTCTGCAGGTCTTTTCAAGCTTCTGGCTGGTGGGGTCAGTGCCTGTGATTGGTATGTTCATTTTTTTGTCGTCAAGCTCTTCCTCCTCGAAATCTGTCTCGGCGTCGGCGGCTTCAGCGCTGCCGATACGTCGATGTCTCCTGCCACGGGCGGAGTGGTGCTGACACCAGGATAGCCTTTGGACAACTCTCGGCCGAGCCACCCATCTCTTCGTCAGGGTCCTCGAGCTCCTCGGTATCATCGGGTTCTTCAAGGACGTCATGGAGTGTGTTGATGTTGGCAACGACATGGGAGGTGGGTGGGTTGAGTGGATTTCTGGCCGCTCCTGGGCCGGGCCAGAGGCCGACGAGCTTGCTGCGGGAGTGGGCCATGAACTTGAGATTGCCGAAGTGGAAGATCCGGCCCTGCAGCAAAGTTCTCGACGAGTTTGAGGAGGCCCCGAATGCGAAGATCTGTCCTAGCGCGAAAACGCCGACGTTGATCGAAGATCCCATCAGGTCTCTTGGTTCGCCTAGCACATCTCGTGCCTGGCGAGCCAGTGTCGGAGTATTTTCCTACGGATCCCTTGATAGGATATCCTGGCTAGACGAGTAGACCGGAGGGGAAACATAAGGTTTACCCAGGTTCAGGCCCTCAAGATCGAGGTAAAACCCTACTTCCTGCTCGTGTTGTATCGCTTGAGCATAGGGGTGTACAATGGTGATTGAGGGCTTAGTACAAATTCTAGGCTCTCGTGGGTATCGACTAGCCCTGTCTTCGGCTTATATGGGTACCGGAGTCCAGGGTTTACAGGATCCTAGTCAGTTAGGGCTACGGAGGGATCCTCCTGGATGCCGGCTTCCTTGTCATGTACTCCCAAGTCTTTCTGAGTCCTTCTCTTCGAAGGGCCCATGGGCTGGTATGACGGCCCGGGGCAGAAACCGACCTAGGGGATCCCTGGCTGGCCTACTCAAGCCGGCTTCAGGTATGATGAGGCACCCCTGGGCAAATAGCACTATCACTGACTCTGTTTAGTGTTCATTTTAGCATAAATATAGTTTGTTTGGGGTTTAATTTAGCTCAAAATTAAGTGTAGTATACTTCAATTATGAACTACTATGTATAACTATGCACTATGTGGTTTTAATCTAGTTTTAACTTTGAGTTTCAAATGAGATGTTTCTGCACAATTTGGATTTGAGTTAAATTTGAGGGTCCAGCTAGGTCAGCACATTTTTTATCTCATATTGAGAATTTAAGATTTGAGGGAAAAAAGATTTATCTGTTTCTCTCTTCTATAAAAATACGGTAAGCAATTTGCGTACTCTCGGAAAAAGAAAGATTTGAGGGAAAATTTGAGAGAGCATCTTTTAAGGGTTTGGCTAGAGATGCTCTAAGACTTATCTTTTTTCTTTTGATTCGAGATGGTAGTGATCCTATGATAAGAAATGAGTCATGTTGGAGTTTTTTCGTACCATCATACATACTTTTCCTCCTTCTGTGGTTGTTAATTGATAGTATGTACTTGCATATTTGCATGCTCATGCCTGTGATATGCCATATCAACAGGTACTTAATCATTTTGGATGGTATGTGGACCACATCAGTATGGGATCAAATTCTGCCTGCACTGAAAGAGAATAAACATGGAAGTAGAATAATAATTACAACTCAGAAAGCCAGTATTGCTGAACATGTTGGTGGTCTTTATCATCTGCCACTTCTTTCTTACAATGATTCAAATATGTTATTCTTCCGAAGAACATTATTTGGGAGTGAACATCATTGTCCTCCTCAATTTATAGAATTGTCCAAGAAAATGATAAGCAGATGTGGACTGTTACCATTAGCCATCATTGTTGTAACTGACTTACTGCCTAAAGTTATGGTGTTAGAGGAATGGCAAAAGGTGTGTGATTCTATTGAAATGGGTGACAATATGGAGAATATCAGAAGAGTTTTAAACCACACTTATGATGATCTACCTCAAGATCTCCAGAGATGCTTGCTGTGTCTAGGTATTTTCCCAGAGGGCTATGAGATTGGAAGAGATAGTTTGGTGCAGAGATGCATAGCTGAAAATTTAATATGTGGGGAGCGTGGACAGAACTTACAGGAACTGGGTGAGAGTTATTTTTCTGAACTCGTAAAGTGTAACATGATCCAACCGATAGAATTTGACAGTTCTGGAAGGGATCTGGTTTACCGTGTACCTGCAATAACTCTTGATTTTATTGTCAGTTTGCCAGTTCACAAGAATTTTGTTACTATATTACCTGCCCTACAACAACAAACAGATCTCTCAAGCAAGGTAGAACGATTATCTCTCCAAGACAGCAATGAGCGACATGATGTGCTAAGAGCAACCAAGACCACTGGCCAAGTGAGTTCACTCTCTCTCTTTAATGGTGCTGATTTGATGCAGCCACTTTCAAAGTTTCAAGGGCTGCACGTGTTATATTTACAGAGATGTGATTCTGTGAAGAATGAACATCTTAAGGGTCTTGAGAGTTTGGATAAGCTGAGGTATCTGGTTCTAGGCAGCAGTCAGATTACTGAGATCCCAAAAAAGATCGGGGAACTACGCCATCTGCAGATGCTGGATTTGAGGGCAACTGGTGTAAAAGAGCTACCATCGAGTATTGTTAAGCTTACAAAACTGCGGTGTCTGCTTATTAACAGATCCACAGAAGTGCCAGATAAGATTATCGGGAAACTACATGCTCTAGAAGAACTAGCGGAAATCGATATCTCCAAGTCTCCAAATATTCTGCAAGAGATTAGTACCATGCCAAAACTGAGGGAGCTCAGCATTGCCTTGTGGTCATGGGATGAGCTTCATACCACACTTCTGTCCGACACTCTGCAAATTGACTATGAAGAAACTCAAGCATCTATCTATTTTCTCTTACTGTTTACTAGATTTCAAGTCAAAAAGAGAGTCAGATTTAAAGCCACTCCAAAAACTTGAAAAGCTTGAGATACAGGGCAGCATATTTGATAAATTACCACATTGGATTAGCAGCCTCACTGTTCTCCGCTCCTTGTCCATTGAGATCTACTCCTTTGGAAAGGATACCCTTGAAATACTTGGGAAATTAGAGCATCTTGTTTTCCTATCCCTTGTTGCGAAGCGGAGTGCAGGAGAAAAGTTAGTGATTGTTAAAAATACATTCTGTACCCTGAAAACCTTCCTTCTGTTCAATCGTGCCATGGCGATCGGGTTCGAGCAAGGAGCTATGGAGAAACTTCAAAGTCTTAAGTTAACGCTGCAGGCGTCACTGACAAAAACGGATGATCTTTGTTTGGGCCTGGATACTCTCTCTTCACTTCAGCACGTCCATGTTGAAATTATCTGCTTTAGTGCCACCAATGGGGCTGTGAAGGTAGCTGAGACTGCAATCCGGAGCATGATTGGAAATAACCCTGGTAAGCCTAGACTTGAAATGAAAAGAATCATGGAGGGATATATGGAAGAAGATAAAAAGGAAGAGTCAGAATGTGAAATCGAGGTAGAAGATGAAGATCAAGAAGCACTCTGTGTGACAAAGCCGGAAGAACAGACCGTTACAGCAAAGAAGAAGAAGAGCAGGAGGGCAAGGAAGAAGAACAAGAGGCATCACTAGTGAGGACTTCATTTCCCCACGCAAATCTGATTCCTGAAATCCAATCTGTTTATTTTTTTGGTCCTGATCATATACATTTAACACACCATTTTTCTTGTTTGCTTGCCAGGAAACAACGAAGATCGGTGCCTTCGCCTACTTCTACCTGGGTGGACTTCCATTTTGTTTTTGTTTGTGTTCTGTATTTGCTTCCGTTTGCACGTGAATTCATGAACTACCACCAGCAGGGTGCCTCGTGCACAACATCAGAACTTTATAATCTGTAATAGGACTAGTCATCTCGGTACTTAAAAACTGATGCATCGTGGTGCTGCCAGTTTTTTTGCCCCATAGCCCAAACCCGGGTGGTGGGTTTTTCTGGCGGTACGGTGCTTACAACTCTCTGTCTAATTTCTTGTACTAGTTCATTTATTGCCGTTGTGAAATATAATCAAGAATGAGGGAAACCTTGTTCGAGAATTTATCTTCATTCTATGGTGCTTCCTGCATGTTGCTACCTGCTAGTAGATAGCTGGAGTGATGGATGAAAGCTTCAGTTCACTGCTTTTTAAATCTGGCTAGCGCATGAATGCTGTATATTTTTTTCATCCCCATTTCCCAGAATGGAGCTTTGTGTTGTGCTGCTTGTTGGTAGACTGCTCTCAGTTGAGCTGATTTGTTTGCATACTCGAGTAGGTGCTCGTAGGTGTGGTTTTGGATTTCACCACTTCTCACATTTTTTCCCAGCACACACAAAAAGTTTGCGCGTCATTGCAGTAGTAAGAAGAGAGGTATGGTACAAGACAGTGTTTTTTTTTTTTTTTGCTTATGTTATTACAAGGGCTACTCATAGAACATGGCCTGGAGGTGAGCATCAGAGGACCAGAGAAGCACGCGCCGCCCCGGGGAATTCAGTTTGGCCCAGGAACAGAGCATTTCAAGCCGAACGAGACGAGTATCGACCGTTTTGCCTGGAGCTTCGAGGTGAATGAATACTCAGCGTCGGGGTCGAGCTGGACGTTCGAGGCGACTTCCCAAAGCTGACAGAATCGCGCAAGAGCATGGGCAGGGTCCTGGCCTCGGATGTCTCGCTTCCATGAACTCTGCTCGAGGGCTTCAGCCACCGTTTTTCTGAAACTTCGCTTTCGGACGGAGTGCAGCGAATCTGGCGCAATTGCGTCTCATAGCGAGACCATTGATCCATCCATCATTCCAAAAGGAGACCCGAGTACCACTACCAAGGTTAATATACCCGTGTCCGCACAGGTACTACACGTAATCAGATATTCAGGCCATGACATAAATCGGTCTGTGATATGCTTAGAACTCTTGGGCTTTATTAATGTTAAACCCGGGCATTTTTTGTGCCTTCCGGGTTCCGGCTAACAAGAAACGTCAGAAACAGAGGAAGCACACGAAGGAAACACGATGCATGTAGGCTGCAGCATATCATTTGCTTGTACAGGTGCAATTCCCATGAGTTTTTTTTAGTTTTTTTTTTTGATAAAAGAGAGCTTTCTCTCCGATTTTCATTAAGAGAAATCACCAGGTCTTACAGAAATAAAAAGAAACAGGGAAGCTACTACATCAATCTCTCAGCGAGCACTGGCTATTGAGGAAGAGGGGAAGCCATCCCTTTCCCTCCCATTTGCCCCCAAAGCAGCACCCTCAAGAGATCTAAGGCCTAGGCTCAAGAGCAGGTCCCAGTACCAGACTAACAACAAAGTTTTGAAAACAGGAAACAACCCAAAGTGGCATACAGACTGCTCCTCTAACAGGTATCAAACATCATACATTTTATTTCTTCCTAGAGACAAAAGACTGGAGGAGGATGAAACAGGATAAGTTCGATGCAGCCTTGTAAGCATCTGTTCTCAGCACCAAAGTACGATCCTGAAGAACTCGAAGCTGGTCACCCCAAGATTCTTCCGGTCTCTAGGCGTCACCCATGTGCTGCTTTAAACACTTCTCCAGCTACGTTGCCAACCTGCCCCACTCCTCCCTCCATCATTTCACTTCTTGCGGGGGTTTTCTGCAAAATATTCCAATCATGTAAACTTTTAAGAAGCAGATTAACAGGTACACATGGGTCATTCACCCTGTTATTATAAAAAACAACACTATTTCTCAATTTCCAAATTGTCCAACATATAGCAGAAATTCCTATCATAACTAAGCCCCTCTCTTCTCTTCCAAAAGTCTTGACCCAGGTTCTCATCACCATCTCAAGATCTTCTGGAATGTCAGTTAGATTGAAGGCACATTTTAGTATGTTCCATAGTAACCTAGCTACAGAGCAGGAAAGGAAGAGGTGGTTTATATTTTCCTTATGTCCACAGAAAGGACATTTCTCATCACCTTTCCACCCCCTGCACAGCAGATTATCTTTCGTAAGAATGTTGTTCCTAAGAGCTAACCACATAAAAACTTTGACTCTAGGTGGCATTTTAATTTTCCAATTGTACAGATGTGGGTATTTAATCCCATTCTCTATCAAATGTCTGTAGAAGGACTTTACAGTATATGTCCCATTTTTAGTCAGGGTCCACTTCACCTCATCTTTACTATCATTTAGAATCGTCGAACTGCAAGCTTCTTTAATGTGTTCCCAAAGTTCTTTTGAATCCCCTATCAAAGTCCTCCTAAAATGCATGTTCTCTATTGCACTATCAAAGATCTCCTTGACCGTTTTCTTCTTATCAAAACAGATATTATATAACCTAGGGAAGTCTTTACTCAACGGTGCAGATCCAATCCACCAGTCTTCCCAAAACTGAACACTTTCTCCATTTCCCACTGTAAATTTACATAGGGAAGTAAAGTGATCTCTATGTTTCAGGAGCTCCCTCCAGAACTGGGAATCTCCTTCCCATGTGTTTTAGACGAACACGGTATGCAATGATAAAAGTGGCAGTGTGTGTATCAAAGGTTGCCTAGCGGCACGGTGGGGGGCGCAAGGGCTGCGGCGCGGTCGCCTGGCGGTGCTCTGGCGTTCCTCTGAAGTGTGGTGGCTGCGGGCAGGTCGAATCCCTACCAAATCTGGCCATTCCGGTGAAGTATGGTTCCGGGGTCCCGGCGGGCATTGTGGGGCTAGGTGCACTGAGGGAGACGAGTGCGTGCTGCTGGAGTCAGACGCTCCTTGGTGGTGGCGTGCGGCAACTGGTGGCTCCAATCTGGTAGCTCAGCTCAACCATGGCGGGCGGCACGGCGGTGATGGAGCGACGCGGCTTGGCGTCCTTGGGGTGTCGGACTGTGGCTGCTGACAGTGACAGCGGTGGTGTCCAGCGGCCCTTTCTGCGGGCGTGGAGGCGGGGCAATGGTTTGTGGTCTGTGGGTGGTGGCCATGGTGTTGGCTGGAGGTGGCAGGTTTTGGCATCGGAGTTGCCAGCTGCGCTGAGCGGTCCCCTTACGGATCGGACGGGGTGGCGTCCACCTCTTTTCGTTTGCCGGCAATGGGTCGGCAACGCAAACTGGCCGCCGGGACAGGAGTTTGACATGGTCCTCCTGCCCAGGGTTGGTTCTCCTCGCGCGAGTTTTGGCGCATTGTCGCCCTGGAGTCGGGCTTATCGGGGTTGCCAAGGTGGGAGCTTATCGGCTAGGGAGGCGTCAGAAAGTCTGTGGATGTGGTGGGCGGGACATCATTGTTCTGATAGTCGGGCCAGTGCTTCAGGCCGTGGAGTTGGCGCCGTCTGAGCTAGTCACTGAGTCATGTCCCCCTCAAGTCCATCGAAACTTGTGGGGATTGCGGGCGCGGGCGCTCCTATGATGGTGGCGCTCGCCATGTCTCGGTGACTGATGTCAGGATTTTCTTGCCGCGGTTTGTGCCCCGTGACATGGGCGGTTGGCGGAGTCTCGTGGCTTGGATGCTAGGGCGGCGCCGTGACAGCCTTGGAAAGCGGTCCGCATGGTTGGTTCTTCAGCGGGCACCATGGCGGTGGCAGTGGCTAGGTCACCGTGTGGGCGGCGAGAGATGTAGTGGTGTGGCTCAGGGGTGCTGTGATGGTGGAGGCGTCCCAATCCGGATCTAAGGGACCTAAGCTCGTCGCACTTGTCCTGATGCTCCGTGATGGCACGGGGGAGTGGCCAAGCGAAAGCTTCATGCTTTGTTGCCATTGCAACCGAGCTCTTCAGCAACATGTCCTAACTAGTCTAAACTTAGAGCGTTCGCTTGAGCATCCACGTCTTCTATTGTTGGAATGCCACGCTTGAGCAGTTTTGCAAATGATACCATGGATTCACGAACTTTGAAGTGGAAAGACATAAGAACTTTAAAGTTGTTAGAGGAAGTGTTTTGGTAGAACAAACTTTTTGGGGTGAGCGAAATTCATAGAGTTAACACAAGGATCACGGAAACAACTGAAACCCAGTGGTGGCGAGAAGGCATTAGCCCCCCTCCCCTCGCTCCCGCGATGCGCCACGCGAGCGCGTCATAGGGGCTCCAGGTCCGTTGCCGTTTCTAGCCTTCCGCGTCGTCCTCCCCTTCTCCTCACCGCTGCCGGAGGGTGTCTGCTAGGCTAAGCCCGTGCGGCGTTGGCATCGGCGGGGCTTCTCTCCTTCCTCCCCTGGTCAGGATCTTTGCGGTGCGGGACGCAACTTGTGGGGGAGCTGGGTCCGGCGGGGACGCATAGATCTGGTGGCGGCTGCGCTGGGAGGCAACGGTGCAGCTCCGCGGCGGCGTGGCAGGGGGCTCAATGTCAACATTGCCCTCAGGCGATCGTGCTGTTTTTCCGAACAGCGAATTTGTATCCGCTACCACCACCTCCTCGAGCATCGTTTTCACGATTCCTTCGGTGGAATTATGTGGAATTGAGTCTACAACAATACTATAAAATTTCGTCGCGTTCCGATGGAGCAATCTCCGCCGATCTTCGATATACCGGAGCCCTATCGAATCTGGACGGGTTTGGAGCATGGTGTCCAGCATATAGCTTGGACGTCCTTTGGAAGATCCAACCATTGATCGGCTGCGGAATTCCTATATCTACCACCTCTTAAAATTTCAGCTCGATCCGACCGTCCAA